GAGTTCCTTGTTATGCCTTTTGGCTTGACTAATACGCCAGCGGCATTCATGGACTTGATGAACCGCGTCTTTCACGATTACTTGGACCAGTTTGTGGTACTTTTGGTGGATGACATTCTCATGTATTCACAATCTCAGGAGGAGCACGAGGTTCATTTGAGTATTATTTTACAGATTTTGCGGGAGCATCGATTGTATGCCAAACATAAGAAATGTGAGTTTTGGCTACAGGAGGTGAAATGTTTGGGGCATGTTGTTTCAGAAGGTAGAGTGTCAGTAGATCCATCAAAGGTTGAAGTAGTTTTGAATTTGGAGCAACCCAAGAATGTTTTTGAGATTCGGAGTTTCCTTGGCCTAGCGGGTTACTATTGGAGATTTGTGAAAGATTTCTCCCGTTTGGCATCTCCTATGACCCGTTTGACCCAGAAAGGGATTAAGTTTGTGTGGAATGAAGCCTGTGAGTCATCTTTTCAGGAGTTGAAGACAAGATTGACTACAGCTCCAGTGTTGGTGATACTTGAGCGTGGCTTGGGTTATGTGATTTATTGTGACACTTCACGTGATGGTTTGGGATGTGTGTTGATGCAAGATGGTAGAGTAGTGGCTTATGGGTCTCGATAGTTAAAGACTCACAAGCTTAACTACCCTACTCATGATTTGGAGTTAGCGGCAATTGTATTTGCCTTAAAGTGTTGGAGACATTACTTGTATGGTGAGAGATTCGAGGTGCACTCGGATCATAAAAGTCTCAAGTATTTTTTCTCCTAAAAGGACTTGAACAACAGATAGAGAAGATAGGTTGAGTTCTTGGAAGATTACAATTTTGACTTGCAGTATCATCCGGGGAAGGCAAATGTGGTAGCAGATGCCTTAAGTCGGAAATCTCGTGGAACTTTGGCTAGTTTGGCCATCTGAAAATAGAAGATGGTTGAAGATCTGGCAGAAATGGGATTGCAGTGTTTTGATGACAATGTTGACAGTGAGCCAGCATTCTTATTTAGTCTTGTGGCTCAGTCTACTCTTGTTGTACAAGTGATTGAGTCATAGAGACAGGACCCGGATTTAGATGTCATTCACGCTTAGATCTCCATTGGTGAGACAGTGAAAGATTGGGCCTTGCATGCAGATGGGGGTCTATGGTTCAGAGGTTTATTGGTGGTTCCCATGGTTTGTCGTAAGGACGTCTTACGGGAGTTTCACACGTCCCACTTTGCAGTTCATCTAGGTGGTACCAAGATGTATCACAATTTGAGACGTCAGTATTGGTGGGACGGGATGAAAAAAGATGTTGCATAGTTTGTGGCTAAGTGCCTTACCTGTCAACAGGTGAAGGCCGAGCATCAGAGACCAACTGGTTTGTTGCAACCATTGCCTGTAGCGCAGTGGAAATGGGAACATATTGCTATGGATTTTATGACAGGTCTTCCAAGGTCATGGAGGGGCAATGAAGCCGTATGAGTCATCATTGACAGGTTGACCAAGACGGCTTACTTTTTTCCTATTAAGGCAACAGATGATACAGAGAAGCTTGGTGTACTTTATATGAAAGAGATTGTAAGGTTGCATGGAGTTCCAATAACTATTGTCTCAGATAGGGATGTTAAGTTCACTTTGAAGTTCTGGGAAGGACTTCAAGCAGTATTTGGTTCAGCGTTGCATCTTAGTACGGCATTCCATCCATAGACAGATGGCCAGTCGGAGCGTACTATCCAGATTTTGGAGGATATGCTACGGGCATGTGAACTTAATTTGGGAGGTAGTTAGGAGGATCACCTTTCGCTTATTGAGTTTGCCTATAACAACGGTTATCAGGTAAGCATTGAGATGGCTCCATTTGAGGCCTTGTATGGTAGACCATGTAAATCTCCAGTTTGTTGGACTGAGGTAGGCGAGACCGCCGCCTTAGGACCCGACATAGTACTTGAGACTACCAAGAAGATTAAGCTGATCAGACAGAGGTTACTTATAGCTCAGAGCCGACAGAAGAGTTATGCGGATAAGTGGAGACGGCCATTATCCTTTAAGGTAGGAGACCACATTTTTCTTAGGGTTTTTTCACGGAAGGGTTTGATGAGATTCGGGAAGAATGGTAAGTTGTCGCCACGATTCATTGGACCGTTTGAGATTTTGGATCGGGTAGGAGAGGTTGCCAACAGATTTGCTTTACCACCACAGATGGACAGAGTCCACAATGTCTTTCATGTATCGATACTATGGAAGTACGAGCCGAATCCATCTTACATTTTGAGTTGGGTTAATATAAACATTGATGAGGATGTTTCCTACGAGGAGGGATCAGTTCATATCTTTGACACACAACAGAAGGTGTTGAGAAATAAGACGATACCAATGGTGAAAGTTCTTTGGAGGCACCACGGAGTTGAGGAGGCTACTTGGGAGCTCGAACAGAAGGTTCTCTCCAAGTACCCAACGTTGTTTTTAAGTTGGGGATAATGTAATGTTTAAGTTTTTCTGTTATATATATTTATGTGTGTGTTAGGAGAAGTTTTTTTATTTTACCTGCGGGACCTACATGATATTATATCAATTGTGAAGGCTTTATAGCCATTACCTTCGCCAGACTTCTCATTTCTCACGGCCAACTCTCTCTCTTTCACTGGATTTCTTTTCTTCTTTTTTCTTTTACAACTTCAAATCTTGATTTCTCTTTCATCCCTTGGTAATTTTGAGTGCCATTTGAGGCAAAACGGAGAGCACGGCGAGCTCTACACGTGTGTACCAGCAATTCCAGTTTTGAGCAACCTAGGGAGTCCGAAAATCTTGACCCATTTTGAGGGTTTGAGATGAAAATTAGGGGTTTTGCAAAAAATAGAGATAGGGGTTCCTAATTCACTTTTTCTTGCTCCTTTGTGAATCATCTTATTTGATTTGTTGTCAAGCATGTTAATTTGTGTTAGTTTTTCCTTGAAATGATCATATTGTTGTAATGAGATATGTGTTTATGTGTTTTAATTGGAGTTACATGAAATATATGCTTATATGAATTTAATTCCATGCCTTCCTTGCTTACCATGCTAGAATTTTGTTGAAGGAAGTATGTTATTTTTTTTTAAACTTCTTGTGAAGCATGCTAAGTAATTAAATCTTAAAATTGGCGTGTGATGATAAATGTTGCTATGACCAAAAAGGCATGAAGCATCTATGTACTTCATTGGGAACGAGATGGGATCATGAATTTGATAAATAAATACATATATATTTTTAGGAAAGATTTTTGAAAATGATTTTGTGAAAAACCCGACCGCTTAGGAGTTGCCTAGGGACCGCGGCATTAGTGAGGCCTAGTGGGGACTAGGGAGACCGCCATAGTGTAGTTGAGTTACGTGGGCCCTAAATGACGCCATGGAGTTACCATGGGTCAGGGATAGTGGCCAATCCTCCTTTCGTGCCGCCATGGAGTTGTCACGGGACGGGTTCACTAATGGTTTGGAAATGATAATGGAAATGGTTTTGGGAAAATGGGGAGTGACATTGCATGGCACAGCATCTCAATGCATGGCATATTTATTTGTGGTATTGGATTAATGATGTGGTATCGTAGTTATACTTTTACTCCCGGCATGGTATGATCCCAATTTCCTTATTCCTATTCATTGTGTGGATTCACGGGGTCTCAAGAGGTGTGCCTTAGGCACTACCAACAGAGCAATTTCGCTAACCCCTATTATTTAACATTTTTCAGGGCTCGGAAAAGAAGTGGCGGATGACAATCCCCCGCAAGCTTGAAGAAGATTAGGAGTTGTATTTTGTTATCTTTTGTATTTTAGCCCTTTTTTTTTTTTGTATTTTCTCAAACTATGTAAAAGAGTATTTATTTTTGCAAATCATGACCCTATAACATAACTAAGATACTTGATTATTTTTGTTATAAACTGAGACCATGTAAATGCTTAAGTTGAAGGGGATGACGATGGTGGGCTAATTTGGGAAGGTTGTTGATGTTATGGTATTGGGGAATACATTATATTTCTTTTGTATTGTGTGTTGGGGCAGGTTGAATTGGTCTTGAAAGGCTGTTGTTTTTTTTTTTTTTTTTTTTCATTTGAACAGGTTGTTGTAGAACCATTTTTAGCAGAGATCATGCCAAAATTTTTTATTTTTATTTTCGGTATTCAGTTTAGGGTCGTTACAACTTCATCGTGGCTGTATATAATACAAATATATACACACACACACACACACACACACACACATAAATATATATATATATATATATATATATATATATATCCATAAATACGTGTCATCCCATAGTCCTTCTCTTCTACAAACCACGTCTCCTTGATTTGCTGCAACTTCATTGACTTAACTGAAATGGTTTGTAGAAGCCTCTTTAAAATAAGGAGAAATTCCAACCCACATCTTGCTTGGTCAACTTTAGCCTTATCATATTTTGGCCCTAAACAATAGTTTTTAATACATATGTAATTATTTTATTCAACCAAAATGAAATATAAACTTTTAAAATAGATCAATTTGTAATTTAGAACTCCTAACTCGACCAAAATATGATTTCCCAATAATAAAACTCGATTTTGTGGCATTGATACGTTCTATTTTGTGTCTTTTAACTTATCAAGTTGTAGATATTGCTTACAGTGCCTTGACAATTGCTTGAGTTTTCCAACATTACAATACACTCTTTATTCTACTTAATCATTCACCTAGATATAAAGTATTTTTTCTGTAGAAGTTGACATGGTTTGACAAGATCTTAGCTAAGTCAACTGTCAATTGCCAATATGACTAATCAAAGCGTCCTCTAAGTAGGTGAATTATGCATAATAAACCCAAACCCTAATAATATCTATAATATTTATATAAAGCATATTAGCAGAATAATAGAAATGCTTTTGCAGAAATAGAACTATTTTATAAATTTTCTGATGTATTATCCCAATTTAACTAAGATAAATGGCCTTATGGATCAAAAATGGTTTGCATTTCACAAATTAAAGAACAAACAAAACACAAATACATTGTGTTTTTTTTTATTTTTTTATTTTTTATTTTTTATCGAGCCTCTAATATTGTCATGGTGATTTCATTGACTGAACTTGTTGTATGCTTGCTTGACAAATAATAATCGATTTCAGGAAAAGTTCTTTCAGTGTAAAAACCAGGTTGTTTAGGCTGAAGCAATGCACCCTCGCTACCCAGCATCATAACCACAAATGACATGTTTGGCCTATCTTCTAGAGATTGTTGCACACATAATAAAGCAATATGGATCGATCGTAGAACTTGGGATAAACAGCATGAGTCTTCTCCTAGAGGTGCATCTATCAGTTCCAAGGACCTGCCTTCCTTGAAAAGTCTCCATGACTACAAGTAATTCACACCTCATCAGTAAAAGTGTCAGTTTTTAACATATAGATTACAAGTAATTCACGAATCATTAGTATGAGTGTTAGTTTTAACATATAGATATAAGATAAGATTCTAAACAGGAGACTTTCATGCCCAAGAAGGTTAAGGTGGTGTTTAGGATGAAAAAAACCTCTGTTCCTCTTTCCACTCACTATCTCCAGCACCAAAATTCCGAAACTAAATATATCTGATTTTATAGAAAAAATCCCATCTATTGCATACTCCGGGGACATGTAGCCGCTGCAGGGAATAGTGAACTAAGAAACAGATGTAGGCTATGTAGCAACAATAGGATGGTTTATATAAACATGTTTAAAGATTCTTACTGTGTTCCAACCACTCTTTTTGTAGTTGCTCCAGTCTCATTTTCTCCAAAACTTCTAGCCACACCAAAGTCCGATATTTTAGGGATCATGTTAACATCTAGCAAAATATTGCTAGCTTTGAGATCTCTATGGATGATTCTCAGTCGGGAATCTTGATGAAGATAAAGAAGTCCCCGGGCAATGCCATTGATAATTTCAAAGCGCTTAGGCCAATCAAGTAATTTGCTTCGGGTTTGATCTGTCAAAACTTTTCATATTAGTCTACACTGCTGCTAATTAAATGAATGCTTGTATAACTAGAAAACGGTTCCAAAATATCAAATCACAGAGTTTTTATGAGAGAAGTTCATGTAGCACATGTGACAAGCAACCAGCAAACTTTGATCCCCCACCCCAAACACACACACACACACAAAAAAAATAAAATAAAGAGGAAGGTGGAGGGGGTTGCTTGCTACATTTGCATTTCTCTGCATATAAGTGCTGCCACTTGAACTTGGTTGGAACAATTTATGGCGACACCATGTCAAAAAAACAATGCTGGATCAAATATAATTAACATAGTCAGATGCTTTTACTGAGTTAAATTTATCATGGTAAAGAGCCAAACCAAAAATAAATAAATCCAAGCTTTTGTTAGGCATGTATTCATAGATCAATATCGTTTCTTCTCCTTGAAAGCAGCAACCTAGAAGCTTCACAAGATTTCGATGTTGGAGCTTTGCTATAAAGATAATTTCATTCTTGAACTCATCAATTCCTTGTGTGGAATATTTTGACAGCCGCTTCACTGCTATTTCCTTTCCCTCTTCCAGCATACCCTGAAACACTTAAACATTTGTGTTTGGTAGAATATTATTTTAAAAAGAAAAGAAAAACTCATGTTTATATTGCTTCCTTTTTCTTTTTATCTTTTACTTACTGCCTTGTGTTGTATTTTCACTGATTTGATTATTGATTTGTTTCACAACGGATATATATACCCAAAAGAGTTTGCCTCACTCTACTAAAAATTTCTTCAATAAATCGTATTTCCTATAATTTTTTGCACAACATACTAACATCTAAAAGGATAGCAGGACCTACTACAAATCAAAGTGATTCTAATTTAGCAAAATCAAATATTTTCCCCTTCTTTTACTTTTTATTTTTCAAAAGAAGAGAAAAACAGATTTTGAATGGCTGGGAAAATTTAATAAAAATTAAAATGTTGAAACTTGTCTAATAGTATGTGATTCATCACTGAACATTCTGATCTTCCTATTAATTCTGACATAGCACAATGTCAAGAAATTGAGAACTAATAGAATAAATTTACAAATATATATGCATGAGGAAAGATACACACTCGCATAAAGAGTTTCTTTTGAAAAAAAGGGTCATTTGTTCTTCTGCAAAAATAGAACAACAAACATTTTGCTCCATTGCTAACTTGCCCTTTATCAGGTATATAAATACACCAAAAAGCCAAGCAAGTTTTATTTCGTGTGTGTGTGTGTTTAGGAAGGGGGATTGTTACAACTCTACAACTTCTTAGGAACCCAAAAAAACATAAAAATTGAAAGTAGACTTTTGTGCACACCGTATTAGCTGTAGCTCGTTGGTCATAATTTTTTAAATAGTTACCATTATACTGCTGATGTTCGTTTCAGACATTTTCATTCGGAAAAGTTCACCAGCTTTTAATATACTCTTTTTGAAGGCTTGCTGATTGTAATTTCAAATTCAGAATAATAGAGACATACAATTATTTTAGAGTATTTGCCTAGTATCAGTATCAATTGAGCCTCAGCTATATCGGACTTAGGAATTCATGCAAGTGTATCCAAATTATTACTTTCAGAAAAGTACAGCATCTTTTAATATCCCCTTTTTGAAGGCTTGCTGATTGTAATTTTAAGTTCAGAATTTTTTTCTTAAATGAGAGATGAAAACCTTGAAGATAAGTAATAATAGAGAAATACAGTGATTTTAGTGCATTTGCCTAGTATCAATATCAATTGAGCATAAGATATATCGGTCTTAGGAATTCATGTAAGTGTATCCATATTATTACCTTGTAAACAGGTCCAAATCCAACCTCTCCAAGTTTATTGTTGATTGAGAAGTTATTGGTAGCATCAGCTATTGTTGATAAGTCAAACATTGGTAACTCTAGATCTTCCTTGTGGCTTTCATTAGTGTGGCATTGTTCCAAGCCGCGATCCAAACTTTCTGTAAACAGGGGAAAAAGTGAAATTAGATGAAACCAACTTTAATTTTCAAAACAATTGCACACATTTCCTTCCAGAGAGATAAGAGCACATAAATAGAACAGTACCAGTAAACCAAACAAGCTACTTGACCATAAAATGACTAATTTAGTTACCTCTATTTAATTTTTGCTCTTGATGCTTCTTCCGTACATAAAAGGCAAAGGTTAGGCCCAGCAATAACACTCCTGCTAGTAACGCCAAGATGACTGTGACTTTCTTTCGCATCTTCCTATTGGATTTGGAGTCAACTTCGGAGACTGTCAAGTTCATCATCCAAAAAAAAAAAAAAATTAAGATTGAGTTTCCAAAAATAGTATAGGTTTCCAACCCATGAAAGTTTCTATTTTCTAAGATAAAGCCTCTTCAAATTCTCTTCTCTTTTACTTGGTAATTAGATTTAGAAATTTAAACATATTCACAAATATTTTGGAAATTGTTTGCTTGATACTATGACCAGTAGTTTCTAACATTATATGATTTCAGTCACTATATAAATATTGAAAAAAAAATCAATAAAATACAATTAAAACCAAGTGCAAGAGAATGTGTGTGAGAGCTTCCATGTGCCTCCTGATTTATGCCTCCTTTCTACAACTCTGCTTGCAAAGCTGTTGAAAATATTGGCAACTTTCTTTTTATTTCCACAACAGAATTTAAAAGCTACTTATCTACATGTTTGGGAATATATATCATACCTAACTCAGATGAGGCCATTCTTATATAAATATCTTGTCCAGTTTCAGTGAGCACCCTAATATTAATCAGGGCTTCAAACCAGAGAAAGCAGCCAGTTCCTCCTCCTCTTATGTCTATATTTGCATAAGCCATACAAGAACAGTTTTTCAAAGCATACTGTCTCACATTCCTTGAGGGTCATGCTTTTATTAAACCAGGAATTCTGCGTGTCAGGCAATTTAAGACCGGAATACTTGATAAATCCATTTGATGATTCATTGTGGCAATCCAAGGCTGTTTTTCGAACACACCCACTTGACCAATCTGCTGTGTCCCAATCTTTTGGGTACCTTGGAACAAATTTATCAAGACACCCACACACCGGGGAGTTAGCAATGCCGCAGATACCATAGGCCTGACATAGCCCATAAAAATGAGAGTTACCTGCTGGTGTATTCATGTAAACTGTCCATACCTGTGTTTTATAATTCCATGTCAAGCGCTGTAGTATTCCATTCTGATTCAAAACCCGCCGTGAGAAAACCGAGCTATTAATAAGCTCATATTCATAATACACTTCCTACTGATCAAAAACAAAATGGTATGTGTTCGGCTCCTAAAAACCGTGGACCTTTCCAAGTGTGGAAAGGAGGGTGAATGGGTGTCCCAAGAATTGTTGTCATTCCAAAGTGTGTATGCGAACAATTATCCAGTAGTAGATTGCAGGGATTAGACGACTGTACGAAGGACTGGAATTACCACCTTCGGAGGTTCTTTTTCTTTTGAAAAAGGACTTCTGGACTACTCTATGGCTAGTGGAATGGAAAGCGGTATTGAAGGTGTAGGACTTCAAAGTAAGGTGCTGGAAAGTAAAAAAAATAAGTGCGGGACTTGAATTAAACATATTGGAGGTGCATTACATGAATGTAAAGTAATTGAAGTGTTGTATTGCTGTGTGATTTGAACAAGATTTGCAAACTAGCTCTAAGTGCTCTATTTATAGAGATTTCCATGCTTGCAGCTTGGTAAATAGCAGCCTTAGAAACTTCCACTTGTATTGATTTCAAACTGCCAAGTGTCCCATGTTCTCTTGGCAGTTGTAACTTCTTCCTTCCATCTTCTTCAATCATATCTTCCACTCTGTCTTCCACGACTTCCTATTCCCTTTCTTCTGCCGTAAATACTTTCTTCTTCAAACATGATTTAATTAACCTCGTCACCCATATTCCCTGACAACTGCTTCAGTTAGTGGTAGCAGTTACATGAAATACCACCACTTTCAGCTGATGTACCCTTGTTTGGCCAAGTGTCCCATGATTTTTATAATCTCTTCCATCTATAGACTCCTTCTTTCCCTATACTACTCCATATATATCATGAATATATAAGGAAGTTACTTGCACACCCACATTACCTTTAACCTGGGTAACCTTCTTCTGTTGGACTTTCTATTTTAATCTTGGCTTTCATGGCATTGTAGCCCCTTCTTTATAGCGACTACTTCTGTAATGTTTAAGTTTTTCTTATATATATATTTATGTGTGTGTTAGGAGAAGTTTTTTTATTTTACCTACGGGACCCACATGATATTATATCAATTGTGAAGGCTTTATAGCCATTACCTTCATTAGACTTCTCATTTCTCACGGCCAGCTCTCTCTCTCTCTCTCACTGGATTTCTTTTCTTTTTTCTTTTTTCTTTTCTTCTTCTTTTTTTTTTTTTTTTTTTTTTTTTTTTTTTTTTTTAATGACTTTAAATCTTGATTTCTTTTTCATCCCTTGGTAATTTTGATTGCCGTTTGCGGCAAAACAGAGAGCACAGCGAGCTCTACACATGTGTACCAACAATTTCAGTTTCAAGCAACCTAGGGAGTCCGAAAATCTTGACCCATTTTGAGGGTTTGAGGTGAAAATTGGGAGTTTTGCATAAAATAGAGGTAGGGGTTCCTAATTCACTTTTTCTTGCTCCTTTGTGAATCATCTTATTTGATTTGTTGTCAAGCATGTTAAATTGTGTTAGTTTTTCCTTGAAATGATCATATTGTTGTAATGAGATGTGTGTCTATGTGTTTTAATTGGTGTTACATGAAATATATGCTTATATGAATTTAATTCCATGCCTTACTTGCTTACCATGCTAGAATTTTGTTGAAGGAAGTATGTTATTTTTTTTGAAACTTCTTGTGAAGCATGCTAAATAATTAAATCTTAAAATTGGCGTGTGATGATAAATGTTGCTATGATAAAAAAGGCATGATGCATCTATGTACTTCATTGGGAAAGAGATGGGAACATGAATTTGACAAAAAAAAATAATAATAATAAATAAATAAATAAAAATATATACATATATATTTTTGGGAAAGAATTTTGAAAATGATTTTGTAAAAAACCCGGCCACCCAGGAGTTGCCTAGGGACCGCGGCGTTAGTGAGGCCTAGAGGGGACTAGGGAGACCGCCCTAGTAAGGTTGAGTTACCTGGGCCTCCAATGACGCCATGGAATTGCCATGGGTTAGGGATAGTGTCCAATCCTCCTCTCGTGCCGCCATGGAGTTGCCATGGGACGGGTTCACTAACGGTTTGGAAATGATAATGGAAATGGTTTTGGGAAAATGGGGAGTGACATTGCATGGCACGGCATCTCAGTGCATGTCATATTTATTTGTGGTATTGGATTAATGATGTGGTATCGTAGTTATACTTTTACTCCCAGCATGGTATGATCCCAATTTCCTTATTCTTATTCATTGTGTGGATTCATAGGGTCTCAAGAGATGTGTCTTAGGCACTACCTACTGTGTAATTTTGCTCACCCCTATTATTTAACATTTTTCAGGGCTCGGAAAAAAAATGGTGGATGACAATCCCCCGCAAGCTTGAAGAAGATTAGAAGTTGTATTTTGTTATCTTTTGTATCTTAGCCCTTTTTTTTTGTATTGTCTCAAACTATGTAAAAGAGTATTTATTTTTGCAAATCATGACCCTGTAACATAACTAAGATACTTGATTATTTTTGTTGTAAACTAAGACCATGTAAATGCTTAAGTTGAAGGGGATGACGATGATGGGCTAATTTGGGAAGGTTGTTGATGTTGTTGTATTGGGGAATGCATTATATTTCTTTTGTATTGTGTGTTGGGGTAGGTTGGATAGGTCTTGAAAGGCTGTTGTTTTTTTTCTTCATTTGAACAGGTTGTTGTAGGACCATTTTTAGTAGAGGTCATGCCGAAATTTTTAAAATTTTTTATTTTTATTTTCGGTATTCAGTTTAAGGTTGTTACAAATTTGGTATCAGAGCGAAGGTTCAAAAACCATTAGGACGACGGGTAGAGGCCTACCTAGGGTTGTCTGTGAAGTCATTTGCATTGTAAATTCCTTATTTGCAAAAGTGTTTTGCTATGTGAAAAAACATGCTTAACTGTTTACTTGCTTACGTGCTTATGTGATTATATGCTTATATTAATTTGTTCATTACACAGTATTGCATGCTAAGTGTTAGTATAACATCCTTTTATGTTGAGTTGTTCACGATTGGACCTTAGTGTTATTGTTATTGAACCGTTATTTTTGTTTTATAGAACGATGTCACGGCGTGAATAACTAAGGGAAGTTGGCCTTTGGCTAACAAGGGGTAATGTTGGCGAGAGCTTGAGCTCCAATCCGGCGGAGACAGCTGATGAGGACACACTTCTTCGGGATTTGATTGCCCCAAGAGTTGTTCCTATAAGGAGGGATAATATGGAAGCACCTGTTGAAGAGGGTGAAAGTCCGGCGGAACTAGTATTGAATCGCTTATTGCAGAAGGTCTTGAGGGCCACCATTGCTACTCAACCGTAGCCAATACCGCAGCTGGTACCACAACCGGTAGTGCAAGTAGAGGAGACGCTAGCATAGAAGCGTCTCAAGATTATTAAAGGGTTTTCTCAGTTGATGCCAGTGATGTTTGAAGGCGGTGTAGATCCCATGGTATCGGATGACTACATAGAGCAAGTTGAAACTCAATTGACTTCTATGGATGTGATAGAGAATCACTTGAAAATCATCCTAGCTACTTACATGTTTTCAAAGGATGCCAAGTTTTGGTGGAAATCGATCACAAATCAATATAAGATTGAAAAGATGAGTTGAGATAGATTCATGGAGCTGTTCTATGAGAAGTATTTCCCTGCCTCCAATAGGTGGGAGTTAAAGAATCAGTTTATTGGCCATATCCAAGGCAATATGTCGGTGACGGAGTACGAGAACAGGTTCACCTCATTCTCTCGCTTTGCTCCATAGATAGTGAGTAATGAATGTTGATAAGGTTCGGAAGTTTATCTCCGGACTTGACTACAAGTTGATACCGTTGTTAATAGCACAGGGCATTAAGGTTTATTCTGAGGCAGTGGAAAGGGCATTAATGCCAGAGGCAGAGGCCAAAGATAAAGATGTAAGAAGGGGACAGTGGAAGTAAAAGAGGAATGCAAGGTCATTTTCAGAGGGACCTTCAGGGAAGAGGAACAGGGTTGGTTCATCTCAGTTTCAGGGGCAGTAGTTAGCACAATCTACTAATACCACTCCTATGCCAGCAGGGTCTGCCAGGAGTGGTGTCATTTGTTATCGTTGTAATCAGCCGGGTCACTATAAGTCAGAGTATCCACAAACATTGGTTAATTCTGGGGCTTGTTTTGGTTGTGACCAACAGGGCCATAAGGTTACGAATTGTCCTAATCAGGGAGTAGGCACCGGTAGTGGCACAAGGTCATAGCAGAGGCCGTCACAGTCGGCTACGGTTCAGTCAGGTTTCAGACCACCACCATCACAGCCTGCCATGTCCTCTCAGGGTTCACGGCCAGTTAGGAGGGATACTCCTACTATGTCAGTGCAGCAGTCAGGTGTTCAGGTTGGCAATTCTCAGGCACAAGCACTACAGGGATGTGTCTTTGCACTTGCACCGACTGATACATCTTTTGGATTGTCAGTTCTCCGAGGTATATTTCCAGTGTTTGGTTCTTGGGTCCATGTTTTGTTTGACTCTGGTGTATCTCATTCTTTCATTTCATCATCATTTGCACTTACATCAGGGTTAGAGGTCAGTTTCATGGATCAAGCGTTGTGTGTTGATACGCCAGTTGCGGTTTCAGTGTCTTTGAGTCGAGTTGTGTGGTATTGTTGCATTGTGATAGCCGGGTGGACCTTTGTGTTTGACCTTATCCTCCTAGAGATGACTAGCTTTGATGTCATTCTCAGGATGGATTGGTTAGCTTCCTTTCGTGCCACGATCGACTGTTTTAGAGGTAGATTCACTGTTTACACTCCCGAGGGAGACTGTTTCTTTTTCGTGGGAGATCGGAGTGATTCCTACATTTCATCATTTTATGGAGTTCGTGGTGATTACTTCTTTACTAGCCTTATAGCCGAAGAAGATAATGTTATGGAAGAGATTATCCTGGAATTGTTCATGATTTTCTGGATGTGTTTCCAGAGGATTTGACAGAGTTGCCTTCGCACCGAGAAGTGGAGTTCACTATTGATTTAATGCCAGGTACCGCACCGATTTCTATGGCACTGTATCGTATGGCACCAGTTAAATTGGAAGAATTAAAGAGGTGGCTTGATGATTTAAGGATGAAAGGTTTCATCCGACCGAATGTGTCACCGTGGGGCGCACCGGTCTTGTTTGCTAAGAAGAAAGATGGTTCTTTGAGGTTGTGCATTGATTATCGGAAGTTGAATCGTGCCACTATCAAGAATAAGTATCCTTTGCCAATGATAGATGATTTATTTGATTAATTGAGAGGAGCTAGTTATTTTTCGAAGATTGACTTGAGGTCAGGCTACTATTAGTTACGGGTTAGGGATAAGGATATCCCAAAGACAGCATTTCGTACACGGTATGGACACTATGAGTTCCTTGTTATACCTTTTGGCTTGACTAATGCGCCAGCGGTATTCATGAACTTGATGAACCGCGTCTTTCACGATTACTTGGACCAGTTTGTGGTACTTTTCGTGGATGGCATTCTCGTGTATTCATGATCTCGGGAGGAGCACGAGGTTCATTTGAGTATTGTTTTATAGATTTTGTGGGAGCATCGATTGTATGCCAAATATGAGAAATGTGAGTTTTGGCTACAGGAGGTGAAATTTTTGGGGCATGTTGTTTCAGAAGGTGGAGTGTTAGTAGATCCATCAAAGGTTGAAGTAGTTTTGAATTGGGAGCAACCCAAGAATGTTTTTGAGATTCGGAGTTTCCTTAGCCTAGTGGGTTACTATCGGAGATTTGTGAAGGATTTCTCCCGTTTGGCAGCTCCTATGACCCGGAAATGGATTAAGTTTGTGTGGAATGAAGCCTATGAGTCATCTTTTCAGGAGTTGAAGACAAGATTGACTATAGCTCCAGTGTTGGTGATACTTGAGCGTGGCTTGGGTTATGTGATTTTTTGTGACGCTTCATGTGATGGTTTGGGATATGTGTTGATGCAGGATGGTAGAGTAGTGGCTTATGGGTCTCGACAGTTGAAGACTCACGAGCTTAACTACCCTTACTCATGATTTGGAGTTAGCGACAGTTGTATTTGCCTTGAAGTGTTAAAGACATTACTTATATGGTGAGAGATTCGAGGTGTACTTGGATCATAAAAGTCTCAAGTACCTTTTCTCCCAAAAGGACTTGAACAACAGATAGAGAAGATGGGTTGAGTTCTTGGAAGATTACAATTTTGACTTACAGTATCATCCGGGCAAGGTAAATGTGGTACCAGATGCCTTAAGCCGAAAATCTCGTGGAACTTTGGCTAGTTTGGCCATCCGAAAATGGAAGATGGTTGAAGATCTGGCAGAAATGGGATTGCAGTGTTTTGATGATGATGTTGACAGTGAGCCAGCATTCTTGTTTAGTCTTGTGGCTCAGCCTACTCTTGTTGTATGAGTGATTGAGTCACAGAGACAGGACCCGGATTTAGATGCCATTCACGCTTTCATCTCCAATGGTGAGACAGTGAAAGATTGGGCCTTGCATGCAGATGGGGGTCTACGTTTCAGGGGTTTATTGGTGGTTCCCACGGTTTATCGTGAGGACGTCTTATGGGAGTTTTACACTTCCCGCTTTGCAGTTCATCCAGGTGGTACCAAAATGTATCACAATTTGAGACGTCAATATTGGTGGAACGGGATGAAAAAAGATGTTGCACAGTTTGTGGCTAAGTGCCTTACCTGTCAATAGGTGAAGGCCGAGCATCAGAGACCAGCTGGTTTGTTACAACCATTGCCTGTAGCGCAGTGGAAATGGGAACATATTGCTATGGATTTTGTGACAGGTATTCCAAGGTCACGGAAAGGCAATGAAGCCGTATGAGTCATCATTGATAGGCTAACCAAGACGGCTCACTTTTTGCCTATTAAGGCAACAGATGATGTAGAGAAGCTTGGTGTACTTTATGTGAAGGAGATTGTAAGGTTGCATGGAGTTCCAGTAACTATTGTCTCAGATAGGGATGTCAAGTTCACTTCGAAGTTCTGGGAAGGACTTCAAGCAGCGTTTGGCTCAGCGTTGCATCTTAGTATGGCATTCCATCCATAGACAGACGACCAGTCGTAGCGTACTATCCAGATTTTGGAGGATATGCTTCGGGCATGTGTACTTAATTTGGGAGGTAGTTGGGAGGATCACCTTCCGCTTATTGAGTTTGCCTACAACAACAGTTATCAGACGACTATTGAGATGGCTCCATTTGAGGCCTTGTATGGCAAACCATGTAGATCTCCAGTTTGTTGGACTGAGGTAGGTGAGACCGTCGCCTTAGGACCCGACATAGTACTTGAGACTACCGAGAAGATTAAACTGATCAGACAGAGGTTACTTACAGCTCAGAGCCGACAGAAGAGTTATGCGGATAAGCGAAGACGGCTGTAATCCTTTGAAGTGGGAGACCACGTTTTTCTTCGGGTTTCTCCACGGAAGGGTTTGATGAGATTCGGGAAGAGTGACAAGTTGTCGCCACGATTCATTGGACCGTTTGAGATTTTGGACCGTGTAGGAGAAGTCGCTTATAGATTTGCTTTACCACCACAGATGGATAGAGTCCACAATGTCTTTTATGTATCGATGCTACGGAAGTATGAGCCGGATCCGTCTTACATTTTGAGTTGGGTTGATGTAAACATTGGTGAGGATGTTTCCTACGAGAAGGGACCAGTTCATATCTTTGACACACAATAGATGGTGTTGAGAAATAAGATGATACCAATGGTGAAAGTTCTTTGGAGACACCACGAAGTTGAGGAGGCTTCTTGGGAGCTCGAACAGGAGGTTCGCTCTAAGTACCCAGCGTTGTTTTCTTCCTCAGATATGTCTTGATTTCGGGGACGAAATCTTTTTAAGTTGGGGAGAATGTAATGTTTAAGTTTTTCTTTAATATATATTTATGTGTGTGTTAGGAGAAGTTTTTTTATTTTACCTGCGGGACCCATATGATATTATATCAATTGTGAAAGCTTTCTAGCCATTACCTTCGCCAAACTTCTCATTTCTCACGGCCAACTCTCTCTCTCTCACTGGATTTCTTTTCTTCTTTTTTCTTTTACAACTTCAAATCTTGATTTCTCTTTCATCCCTTAGTAATTTTGAGTGTCGTTTGCGGCAAAACGGAGAGCACGGCGAGCTTTACACTTGTGTACCAGCAATTTCAGTTTTGAGCAACCTAGGGAGTCCGAAAATCTTGACCCATTTTGAGGGTTTGAGGTGAAAATTGGGGGTTTTGCATAAAATAGAGGTAGGGGTTCCTAATTCACTTTTTCTTGCTCCTTTATGAATCATTTTATTTGATTTGTTGTTAAGCAT